TCCAACCCTCCAGTTGCAGCTGGAGCCCAGCTGGGAGAAAAGGGACTTCTAAGGCAGAGAAAAGGGAGGCTCTGATTATTTATTAGTGGCCGATGTTTGATCGTTTGCTAATCAGGCCAGAGAACACACTCGGGCTCTCCCGGCCTCCCTGCTCACATGTGGTTCCTGTTGCTTTGCCCCTTCCCCCCTCCCTCTCTTTGGTTTTGCTTTGTTTGTTTTTCTGTTAATTTGGTTGTTTTTCCATGTCGTTTTCCGTCAAACCGCATGTTTTTTCCCCTTTCTCTCGCCAGCTGCTGCAGTGACAGACACAGAAGAAGGAGGCCAGCCCAGAGCCGCTTGCCCTCTGCCAGTCCCTCTCCCACCATCGCCTGGGAGGCAGCGATGCCCATGGGGCAGGGCTGGGGCCGACACTGGGCTACAAGCCCCAGTGCCACCACTGTCACGCAGAGGGCAACTGCACTGCCTGCATCCTGATCAGTGTTCCTGCTGCTGGAGGAGATGTTGCTGTATTTTCTCTCCCACGCAGAACCCATCCCTGCCTGTATCCCAGTCTACTGGGCAGCAGCCTCGTTAGACAGCGGGCAGGGTGATGGGGGTCAGCAGCACTGCTGGCAGCGCTCGGACATCACCAAAGCCAAGCAGAGGGGTGAAAGAAGAGGTGCGAATGGGCAGAGCTGCCGGGTCAAGATGATGATAAGCAGGTTAGAAAGGGATGGAGGGATGGGAGCAGGACGGACGCCCACCCTGGATGCCTCCCTCCCCTCTGCACACAAGGCCTCCCGGCTCCCATGTGCGCTCTCCGGCTTCTGGCAGCCTTTCCGCCGCGCGTTTCCACTCCTCTCTGGCCCATTAGCAGTATTTTTATAACATTCTGTAATGCACGGAGCCGTGTGCCAAACCTCAAGAGCGCATTATTTCCCAACGTCTTTGTTATATCCATCCCCGGGCCCTCTGGCCGTGCGTTTCCAAATGCAGAGATGCGGCTCGTGGGGGCAGCGGGAGCCCGGCGCCACGCTCCTGGTACCCAGAGCCTTCCCCTCCCTCCATCCTGCTCCTGGTACTCAGCACCGGGCTCTGTCCAGGGACGCCTGGTGTGCAAAAGCCCCGGACCCGTTGCTTGCTGCTTCTGGCTATGCTCAGGCATCTGTCACTCTCCAGGCTGCAAGGCAGATGATCTGCTGGAGATAAACATGGAGCATCCCGGTTATTCTCCTGTGCTTCACCCCACACTCAGCTGTCTGAAAAAACGAGGCAGAGTAATGTGTCACGGCTCAAAGTCCCCTGGAAGAAGCTGCCCTGGAGAAGTGCCACCTTCCTCTGGGGCAGTTTGTGCTTCTGATGCTTCACACCCTGGAGATGGGTGATTTGGGACCTTAGGGATATGCAAACCTGTGGGCCCTTCCTCCTCTCCTAGGTGGGGTCTCCATCCCTGGTCAGCCCATCCCTGGATGCACACGGTCCCCACTGCGCATGCACTGATGTCCCCATCTCTGCAGGGGACAAAACAGCCCAGTTACCCCTGTCATGTGCACTCCCCTGCGTGCTACTAGGTTCCTGGATGCATCCCCCACTATGTGGACCTGGTGTCAAACCCCACCCCAAGGACCAGCTGAGCTACCTGTGTCCTCCTGCCTGCCTACCTGCTGGAGCGCATCAATAAGACACCTTCTTTGTGCTTCTTTATGCAGTATCCTGGCCCCTCCAGCATGAAATCCCCACTCCAAAAATCCTGGGGTCCTTCTGCGGCCAGTGGCACGTACCACTGGAGCTCCCTGCTCATTCTGGGCCAGAGCCATTACGGGAAACACCACCAAGAGTGGTCCAAAGGCCAATGCCAAAGCTCCCCCATCCCTCCCAGCAGCTCCCCATTCAGCACAATCTGATCCCCTTTAGCCATTTCCTAAGCCGTGTTCCAACTCTCGTACTAATCCACATTTTCTCTGGTTTAACTCATAATTTCCCATGTGGCATCATAGCAAATACTTCACTGAAGTCAAGACAGATTACATCGACCGCATTTCTGGGCTTAGGAAATCACTTCCCTTATCAAAGAGAGTTATCAGGTTAATCTGGTGTGATATATCCCTGGCAAGTTCCCCTTGTATTTTTCTTCCATTTTCCATTTGTCTCCACGTCTTTAATTGCTCCCTTTTCCAAGCGCGCCCCGTGGCCCCGCTGTGCTGTGGGGTCAGGCTGTCTGATCTGGGTTTTTCCTTCTCTCAAGCGCGGCAAACATGTCACCTCTCCCCACAGCACTGGGTACCGCCACTGACCTCTCAGCTGCTAATGAGCCTTGCTAATGAACAGGAGATCCTCACCTGGGGATGAGATGCTCCCCAAGCCTTCAATACATTGTTTTCTTTGAAGGTGCCTCCACAGCGGAGGACTGTCTTCAGGTTTTATCCTCCCTCCTCTCCCCCAGCCTGCGCTGCCCTTGCTCTCAGCATCGCCGCTCAGACCTGGTGGGGTTCATTCGGCATCGGGCTCCGCTGAGCTTACTTTAATCTCCCCTGAAACCTGGCTACAGAGCCAGCTCTGCTCTTCTCTCCTCGTTTGCTCCGTATTTATATGGCTAACCCCACTTTTCATTTCCTCTGCAAGGTCTCGCTCAGCTTGACTCCTGGCAGGTCTCCCTTTATCCCTGTGCTTGCTGACCCCCATGACGGAGCTCACTTTCCTAATTGACACCCTTTCCCAGTCCTCGATGCTTCTCCGCTCTCTCCTCACATCCTTCCTGCATCATTGTCTGCCCAGGCACGCCCCTGTCTCGCTTGGGGGGCAGGCTCCAGGTACCGTCGTTTATTTAATGAGATCCCCAGCATTTCTCCATGCAAGGCCCCCCAGTGCCTCACTCCCACTGCCATCATCTTTCTTGTTGCCCCAGTAAGAGGCGAAAATGCAGGCAGAGGCCTGTTTTCATTTAACTTCCCATGCAATTGAAACAAAACGAGTCCAAGATCCCTCAAATCCCAGGTTTGGGCTCCCAGCGTGCTCAGCTGCAGCAGGGATGCTACCACAGGGCCATGCTGAAAACCTCCAGCAATCCGCCCATCTCCATCCCCTCCTGGGATGCTCCCAAACCCGCTTCTCTGCAGCAGCCCACATATGTCCAGGGAATCAGTCATGTCCTGCAGAGGCAGAAAATTTGGGGGGGGCGGTGGTGTGGTGCAGGCAGGGGCTGTGGGTGGCAGCACTGGGAAAAGAAACCTCATGGAGAACATTAAATTAAAATCCAGGCAATTAAATTAATTACCACTAAAAGTGTCTCACCTGATTAGTTCCTTGCATACTTAATTGTGTTAACACCACCGGGCAGTCGCTTATTTATTTGCACCCTCTCTCCTGGGGCTGGTGGCCCCTGCAGTGTCCCACTAGGCTCCTGAGCTGCCCAGTGCACAGGAGGGCTGTGAGCCTCCAGCAAATAGGAACATGTGGTAAAAGGAAACAGCAGAATTTGGGCTCTAAAGCTGAGCAGTTCCCACGGGTCCCTGGGCAGATTGACAGGGATTACTATTAGTGAGGTGCTTAGCAGATGGAAGAGCCATTGCAAATGGCTCACCGCGATGCCACAGCTGCAGAGGAGGTGGTTGGAGGCTGCAGCCCCCTCCTGGTACTCTCATTTCCTCCAGACCTGGGCTGCAGCTCCCCATGCACTGGCACGGCCTGGGACCTCTCCCCACATGGGATCTGGCCAGCACGTGCTCAAGCAGAGGACCTGCACAGTCTCCTGCTGCTGCTGCCAATCCTGCACCCAGCTCCTGCCTTCCCTGACTCCAAACTACCCGTGGACACCTTCTCAGCCTGACAGGGCAGTTGAGAGGCCCATAACTCATCTGCCACTGCCTTTTTGTCTGCCATGATCCCAGCCTTGATACCTACTTGCTGACTGCTCGCCTCTCTCATCCTTCTCATGTTGCCTTTCAGCTTCTTCCAGCACCCCTTCCCCTTGGCCCACGTGCTAGGATCCCTCCCAACAGACACTAAACCATGAGTTGGACACTGTGCAGCATCCCTGAAACCTGGATTTCTTCAGGTGCAGTGAGCCCCTCCTTGCCTGGTTTGCAGGGCTTATGCAGGCCACGGCTGGTCCTCTTGCAACCTTCTGCCCCTGGACCACTGTTTAGGATGGAAACGCCACCCTAGCTCTGATACAAGGTATGGAAGGTAAAACAAGGAGCACAGAAAGGCTCTGCCACGTCCTTCAAACCTGGGAATGTACAGCCACTGACACAACACATCCCGAGCCGGTGGGGCTCCCAGCTGGTGCTTCGCAGCATCCTCCGCAGCAGTTACGGTCCCAGAGCCAGCTATGCCGGCTGGTGCTCCCAGACACCCACCACTGCTGGTTGCAGACGCCGTACTGTGAAACACACAGTTGTTATCAGCTGTACAAACACAGCAGCCCACCAAACACACAGCTGCTATCAGCTCTCAGCATCATGTGAAATATAGCACAACTCTTATCTCCCGCGTCAAGACCCTGTGAATCGGCGCATCTCGCACTTAAGATATGCAAAATGCTTGGAAACGTGCAGCTGTCTTCCAACACGCCCATGCACAGAGGCTCCTGCAAACACACAGCAACCGCCACCACCTTTTGGCTGCTCCTCTGAAACAACCATGTTGCAGTAACCCCAGCCAGGGCTTTTCCTTCCCGGCTGGAATCCCCTCTGACAGCTCAGCCCCAACTCTTTCCGCCTGCAGAGACAGTGGTTGTGGCACTGGGCTGGATAGAGAAGCAACAGCCCTTCCCAAATTATTCCTCAGGCACGATTTAATCTACCAGCTTTGATGCAAAGTTTGGGGCAGAAGGGGTTGATTCCAGCATCCTGCTGCTGGGGTTAGTATGCCACAGGGAGCTCGTATGGCAGGGTGCGGCAGGCAACTGTATGTATGGGAAGTATGGGGGTTGGCATGGCAGGAGGGGTCTGTGAGGGGTCAATATGGGAGCAGACAGCATGACTCTGTCTCCCTTCAATGTCACGTGCTGGGGTACTCACGTCCCACCCTCAGGTAGGTCTGGTACTTGAGGTGCCAGGACGAGCCCTCGTAGCAGGAGTACTGGCCGCTCTGCGTCAGGTTGACGTTCTTCAGGATCAGGTAGGACCCGTTCAGGTGGGACTCATCAATGTCGGTGCCATTGGCTGTCCAGGTCACGGCTGCGTCCCAGTCCATGGAGCCACACTTCATGGTCACGTCTGCGCCTACCCGTTCGTACTGGATGTGGCTGTCTGTGGGGAGGAAGAGAAGAAAAACAGGTGAGCTCAGAGCCCCATCGGCACGGCTGCCTTGGAAATAGGATCTTACCATCACATCTAGGAAGCGAGAGAAGGACTAGGGCATGACTGACATTGTGTTGATGGCCAGGGAAGCCCAACTTCTCCTCTTGGACCTGATAATGATTTATTTTAACCTTAGACTAGAGTGGATCAGCTGGCAAAGACCAGGGGATCAGGACTCAAGACCACCTCCACCTCATAGGATTCTTTCCTCTGATCTTTACCTTGGAGGACACATGTCAGGGATGCATGTATGGCTTGTCAGCAAAATGTCCCACAGCACAGCCAGACACTCACACCAGCAAGTCATTGCCACTCCTGTATCTACGTGACTTGTTGCAGAATGCAAACCAAATGCATACATCAGAAACTCCTGGCAGAGAGATGACAGAGCCACAGGACTTGTCACCAGCAAACCTGAGTTATTTACTAGCGGAGGTGGGAAGCAGGCAGCTGCCTTTGCAATTCTCTGCCCAGGAAATCAAGTGGGAGGACTGCAACCTACCTGTGCCGGGCTTTGGAAAGGGGCAGCTGCTTGGTGCATGCTATGCTGTTTGTATCCCTGCCTGGCTTTTCTTCTCTCTCTATAATAACATGATGCCGTGCTGAGCTGCTTGATTTAGCATCTTGCGAGTGGGGCAATACAGCTCATTGGGCACCAGCTGCCTAATTGAATTTTCTCAGGTTTCTGGACAGGAGCTCGAGCTGACATTCATTAATGATCCTTAGCAACTGAATCTTTCCCATGTCGCTACACTGGCTGTGTGGAGCTGCGTGTGGCAAGGATAAAACATATGTGTGTGTGTGTGTGTGTGTGTGTGCATGACATGGGGTGAAGCAGGACAGGTGGATGAGCAGGGAATGAGGTTCCTTCAAGGCTTCATCAAGCCTTTGTGCACAGACAAGGGGGGTTCAGTTCTGAAAATACTCCTGGGTTTCGAAAACACATTTGACAAGGTGCCTCCCAAGGAAACCAAGAAGTCCTGACACACAAGGAAAGTCCTTGCAAAGATTTATAGCAGCTAAAGGTCAAGAGACCAAAGGTGAGAACAAGCAGTCAGATGTGGCAGTAGAAGCCGTCACCGGTGAAGTTCGACAGAGATCAGAGCTGGATCAGAGCTGCCCAACATCCTCGTAACTCACAGGGAAAAGGGGGTCGAGGCAGCGAGAGGAGACAGCGTGCTGCTGAGGCTGTCAGGGCAGCCAAATTACAGCTGGGTGCAAGAGCGCTGCAGAAGGACATCATGGTACAGACCTGCCAGGTGGTAATATCGTGTCGATAAACGCATAGGGATGCACATGGGGAAGATGAAGCCTTGCTTCACCTACCACTCATAGCTCCAAATGAGCTGCAGCCTCCATGGAAACATATCTTGGAGTTACCACATTCACTTCCCCGAAAACATCAGCTCAGTGGTGACCAAAAATGCAAACCCAACACTAGGAATTATTCAGAAAGGGATTGAGAAGAAAATGGAAAGCGCTGTATCCTTAAAGGCATGCACAAATCTGTCCCTGTGCCATTAGAAGGACAGTTCAGCAGAAAATGGAGCAGAGAGAGGAAACGGGGAAGAACACAGGCTGGAAACAACTCCTGCGTAAGGATGGCTCAACAGACTCTATCCCTTCATCTGTAAAAGGAGACAACTGAGTGGAGATGTGATAGACACCCAAGCAATGACGAGTGACACAGACAGGACGAACAGAGAAGGACCGCTTGCTCTTCCTCCTAATAAAATAATTAAGGGGCAGCAAATGAAAACAAGCAAAAGAAAGCGCTTTTTCACACAAAGTGTGATTACAGAAACCCATGTCCACCAGACGCTGTGGATGTCAACATTTTTGGGAAAATAGTGATTAAATGAATCCATAGCAGAGGACACCACCCAGGGCGGTAGAACACTGAGCTGTGCAGTGAGCCTGGGGAGGCTGCAGGCACCTGATGGTGGGGAGGGACGGGAAAAGCACCCCAGTGCTTGTCCTGCTCCTTTCTCCCTTTCTAGACATCAGCTCCTGAGTGCTGTTGATAGGTGGGACCACATGGCATGATCCAGCTATTTCTCGTGTGAAAGCCCACAGCCTGAGCCCATCTGCAAAGGACAGAGCCCCAAGGCAAAGCTGTGGAGGAGCTGCTGGCAGGTCTGAGTCCTCCTGCAGATGATCTGACAGGACACCTACTTCTAACAGGGAAACAGCACCTTTGGGGATGCTATCCTTGCTGGGAAAGGGGGTGCTAAGAACAGATGGGGAAGAATTGAGGTGTAGTGAGTAAGATGCTGGTGAGATGCCTCAGGATCATCTCAGCCATGGGTGGGGACCTTTGAGAAACTGCGCTGATCAGACAAGTGCGTTTCAAGTGTCTTAAAAAAGCTTAAAGAATATACTGACAGGCAGAATGAGGGGAGAACATCTAAGCTGAGATGTCTGTGTGAGGAATGGTAGCTGGAATGGGCCCAGATAAACAGGCAGAAAGGCAGAAGTGTGGAAGATGGATGGGTGGATGGATGAATGAATGCATGTGATCGCAGACAGACGGACAGATGGCTGGATGGGCACAGATGGGATGGAGGGAAGCGTATGAAGATGAAAGGATGGATGACTATGCAAGTGGATGGATGGATGGGCATATATGAGGATGCAGAGACGTGTAAGAGGATGGAGGCATAAGCATAAAAGCAGCTCGCTGGCTGCATATGTGGATGGAGGGATGGATGGACAGATGGGTGCGTAGGTGGAGGGAGGGGGGAGGGATGGAAGGACAAATGAGTGTCAGTGGGGTTGAGTGGATGGTTGGCTGTTTGGATGGCTGTGGAGATGGATGGAAGGACGGACGGATGGATGGATGGACAGATGACTAGGCAGATGGGTGGATGGATAGATACAGATAACAGAGTTCAGAGTCCTAGCATCTTACTCAAGTTCTCCTCTAATTTCTTCTACTGCATAAAGTAAAGACATTTTCTCTTCCCCTTTCCTGCTGGCCTACAAAAGGCCATTGATGCTCCTGGTCTTACACTTGGGAATCTGTTTGGCAGAGGCACTGAGGACGCTGCACCATCCACCAGCCTTGCACGGAGAAAGGCTAATTGCAGCGATGGGCCCACAGACCTGCCTGCCTTGCCTGGCTCCTGCCAGCCCAGTGTCTAGCCCCAGGGAAGGTCTGAGAGTGGGGGAAAGTGCTGGGGTGCCCAGCTCTGCTTCTCAGGACTGTGGCTGAGAGATTGTCTGTAGCTGGCGGCAGCAGGACTAAGCTGGGAAGGGGAAAAAGGCACCTTGAATTATTTCCTATTTGTCCTTAAACACAGTGCAAACATGTTGGCATTCATCCAGAAGGGCTGAGGGAGCCATTCCTGGAAGACAGGTCTTTGAAAGCAATGCTCCTTTCCAAGGCAATGATTTAAGGCCCCTGACAAAGGAGAAACCCAAAGCACAGCTTCGCAGGAGGCATTTCTCCCAGCCAGGTTTGCTGAGGCTCTTACTGGAGCCGAGCCAGGTCCCCACATCCCTCCTGCCCCATGCCAGCCGTGGGAGTCCCACACAACCGCACCACCATGTGAACACATGGCAGCCCCACTGGCAGGGGTCACCTCTCTTTGGGAAGGGGCACCATGGGCACAGCCGTCCCACATCCCCCCACCACGCTGGAGCAGCCCTGTTTTCTGCTGCCGACACCAGTTCTGCTTTAGGATGGGGATGGGCAAGGGTAAGCAGAGCTTTTACTGGGAGCCCCTTTCCTGCAGGCTGGGTCTGGGCAGGACCCTCCCACCCAGCCCACCCAGAGCCTCACGGCTCCCTCAAGCAGGGAGAGGACAGAGGTCTGTCCACCCTCCCGGTCATCACGTCATTGGTAACACATGGGATCAATGGCCTGTGCTGCAGGGCCAGCCCTGCTGGATGGACATCAACTGGTGGCATGGGCAGAATGAGGCCAACAGCTGCAGCTCAGGAAGTTCGGGCTGGACATGGAGGAAAATTTATTCTCCAGGAGGGTGGTGCAGCACTGGGACAGGCACCCCCAGTGAGGGGCAAATCTCCATCCTTGGAGGCTGTCAAGGCTCTGTTGACAAAGCCATGGCTGATCTGGTCTGCTGTTGAGGATGGTCCTTTTCTGAGTGGGACACTGGACTAGACACCTCCAAAGATCCCTTCCCACCAACACTGCTATGATCACTGGCTAGAAGTGATACCTAGAGATGCTGCTCTGCCCCTACACCATCCTGCTTTTCCAAAGTATGGCTCCTTTTTGGGTTGGGTGACAGCATGAAGGTGAAGCATACATGATGGAGAGGTTGTGATGCTGCATTCCAACCAGCAACATGCTTCTGAGCATCTAACCACATCAAGGGTCACATCCTCTGCCACAGCACAGCACGCCAGCACAGGCACAGCATGGCTTATGACAAAGTCCCAGAGCTGAAGAGGAGCTGTGGTGATGCATAACAAGGGCAGAAATTATGGCTTTACTCACAGCCCTGAAAAGCTGCAATGGAGGGAAGATGCGAGCCACCCATGGGACAGACAGACACAGGTCCCAGTGGTGGACCTAGGGCAGCTTGGTGAATTGAGCTGTGAGCTGCTTTGCTGTCCTCCTAGGGATGACAAGTGACAACTTAATGGTACGATCTCTGCAACTGCAACACAACAGGGACCCGTGGGACAGCAGTCCAGCAGAGAGACATGGTGGGAAGATGAGACAAAGTGGCTGAGATGTGGGGTTTTGATGCTTCCCAAGCCCATCCTGCTCAGCTGGAGATCCTCAACAGAAATATCATCCTCATTTTCCTTCTTAATGAATCATGACCTGCATCGAGACTGCAAGGGCAACAACACAGGGAAATCCTGCAAACCCGAGGGCTGAGGAGCAAAACTCCTCTTGGGACCCTTCATCTCCAATAGCTTCTCTCCCTCTCTTCCCACCGAGGCTCCCACCCTGCCAGCATGGGCAGCTGCCA